AGAGGCTCCGCCAAACCCCGGAGACCGACTCATTGAACCTCTGGGGTTCGTTAAGAACCACTGCTCTAGAGTTTATAGTTTATGCACCAATCACACCGCTGGTGCCTCTGCCGCTGCCTGGCGCGCTGCAGCAGCTGCATGTCTTAAGTTTAACTCAGCGTGGATCACGTGCACCTCCTTTCACTCAGACTGGACTCAGTCTGACCTGTATGGATATTTACATCAACCCCCTGTGAGGAATTATGATTCTTTTCAGAGGTTTTGATCAAGGTAGGAGGTTAAGCCCCACTGCGTTAGCTGTGGTTGTGCAGCTCTACGTGAATTGCAGGGATAACTTGTAGTCACGCTGTCAGAGATGCGTGTTAAGGAGCAGTGAGAATGCTTTATCTTTGTGAACAAAGAATTATATGTGGACTTTACAGCTTAACACGCTACTCAGCGCCCGGCTCTGTGTGCGCTGATAAAGTGTATGTGTTCCCGGTTGGTCGGAGCGTTAATGGTTAACAAACCAGCGCTAAGCTCACCAGGTTCAGGTCGGTGAGGAGATTTCGCGCTTACCTCGCAGTCATGCATCACGCTGGTTTTATATTATTTTCTTATTATTTTTAGTACTATGTTTCAGTTACATGATGCGTCAAACCATATCAAATGCTTTGTCCACATAGACAGAGTTAATGTGTGAGGCTGCGCGGAAATTTGAGAAACTCGTCCCATAAACACGAAATGGACCAGCTACTAAAGCCACATTAGCAGCATTGAATTAAATCTCCCATTTGTTGCCCATCTCTGCACACAGTGCAGAGGATTTAACTCACACAGGGCTGCTCCAAGGCTATGAGGCCTGGTGCAGAGGGGCCTCTCTTTCTGCTAAAACCATCAGCACCTCTAACAGCTTCTGTGTTAGATTTAATCTGAGAGAGGGGGGATAGTTTAATTGGCCACCCTATAAAGCAATAAATTATAATTGCAGTTTATTAATTTGTATTTGTGAACAAACAGATCTCAAAGATTAAACTCATAGCATCAGATTGTTGCTATGGTAACAAAACAATCTAACTATGAATATTGTTTTTTGAACTTTTACAAAGTAAACTTGTCAGCTCCTTAAAATCTTACATTTAAATGTTAAACAATTTAAAATAATACATGGTACATGGAATACATGGTACCATCAGTTTTTAGAAAAATCCATATTCATGTTGAGAGTGATGTATTAACTGCAACACTGGATGAAGTGTCTCTGGAGCAAAATAAGACAATGATCTCCCTTATGGCTGATTTATTCGCTGTAGTAGAAAATGATTTTAAGGTAATTCCTGCTAGTTATATTGCTCTATGTTTATTCTAAATTCTTGTATATTCCCACCAGATAAAGTTATTTGGGTTACATGTACAAGGTTCGGAGTTGTTTCCTACAGCTGCATGAAAACCAGACTGTCTCGCCCCTTGCTTTGGATCCCTTATCCTTGGAATAACACTCATGTGTGGTCTCTGCTTGGCAGAGCTTTTCACGCCAGTCACTGTAAAAGATTACTGGAGCCTCAAGAAGACACCGATCCTGGTGAGGAGAAATCTGTCCAGCAGTCAACAGGACAACAGACCAAGGAGGACAACGCAGAACTTTCTGAATGAGGATAAATTACCTTACTGCTGCTGGTGTTAAGTGCTAGTAACCTCTGACACCCCAGACAGTCACATTGATTTCCTGAATCACTGACATACCATTATTAAAATTGGTGTTAAGCGCTAGTAACCTCCAACACCCTATAGGCTGACATTCAGGAAAGGAAAAGAGAAGAAACAAAGCAATATAAAAGAGACAAAAACAACCACAAACACTCATTCTCATACATCAAAAGGCTCCCCAACCAAAGAACTATTGCTGATCCACTGGCGAGTGGTCGAATTGGAGAGTGAAGATTAAATTAAATATTAAAATAGTTCCAGAGAAAAAAGAAAAAAAAAAGAGAAAATGGGATTTCATCATAACAACGATCATGCCTTCATCTTGTTCCCATTACAGACATTTGTATTGGCTATTTTTAGTGTTGTGTTGTTTTGTCACTCATGTGGTGGGGATCATTTTTCTCTGATAAGGTGGAGAATTCTTCTTTACATGAACTGCAGGATATTAAATAGCTGTCTACCATTGACTTGGAACTTAAACACTCCACTCCTTACACCTTGTATTTGTGGTACCACTATGCTAAGTATATGGCTCAGGACAGGTCAAATTGCTATGTTTGCTTACACATGCCTTTAGCTGGCCACTCACCAATGGTGATTCCACAACCTTATCCAAACATCTCTGACTTGTTCCCAGACATTTTGACTTCTCCCTTTCAGGGTCTGCACCCTATCGACACACACACACGCGCACACACACACACACACACACACACACACACACACACACACACACAGGAGGTGCTCCTCCGCTTCCAGCTCTTAAGAGTTCCAGAGGCTTCACAAAGTTCCTTCACGTCACCAACACATCCTTTGAGGAATCCTGTTCACATTTCACCTAAGGTAAAATTTGACTGTTATTCTAACTCAAAGGTTAGACTGATGGGTCACACTCCTACATTTTTAGGCAAAATACCCCGTTCATATTGTAAATCTGTGCTTGTTCCCTGCATTCTGTATGCTAATAATGCTTCTCTTAATTATTCTCAAGCTTTTCCAGGAACTACCTGTTCCCTTATTACCAGGTGCTGGATGTTCTTGGCACTTTGCCCCGAATTGATATCAATCAAATTTTATTTGTATAGCACATTTCAGCAGCAAGGCATTTCAAAGTGCTTTACATCATTAAACACAAAAACACAGAGTCATCCAACATTGAATCAACAATCAAACACATTAAATTTCCTGCCGAGTCGAAGTTCTGCCCTTATGGGTACCTCATATAAGAAAGGGGGGGACTCTAAACCTGCACCCTTTTTCTTCCTAGCGCTTGAACCCGGGTTGGGATTCAAATCCCAATTGTTGTTTATGTTCCATAAGCAACTCTAAATAGGTGGGTTTTAAGTTGAGATTTAAAGGCACTCAGTATTTCAGCTGTTTTACAATTTTCTAGAAATTTGTTTTAAATTTGTGGTGCATAGAAGCTGAATGCTGCTTCATTCATATGTTCTGGCTCTGTGGATATTCCCTATACCTGGCTCTCCCAGTAAATTGGGCCAGTAGGTGTGCGCCAGTTACAGCAAAACACTCTTATGTTGTTAGCTCTGTAGAAATTCATGAACAACGCCAACGAATCCACAGGTCACCCACAGAACCACATGACCCATGCTGACACTGTTGCACATTAATGCCACAAAATTAAGATAGGTTACAATAAAACAACATGGGTGTCATTTTTTTGTCTGGTTTGTTTCAAATGTGTAAGTTAGCAAACGGTATTGGAATCAGAAGTAGAAATGTATAATTTACAATCCAAATGAGAATCTTTTAAGAAGTAAATCAAGAATGTGGTGCTGTGGTGGCACAGGGGTAAAGCACAACCCACATATAGAGGACTTAGTCCTCGACGCAGCTGTCACAGGTTTGAGTCCCGGCCTGATGACCTTTGCTGCATCTCTTCCTGCTCTCTCATTACCCACTTTTCTGTTGATTCACTATCAAATAAAGGCAACTAGAGCCAATGAAACATTTTTTAAAAAAATAATTAATTCAAGAACTAATACCTGTGTAGCAGTATTGTACATGTGTTCCACTTCAGTAGGGTAGGAAGACATAATGCCAAATAACCCTCTAGCATTGGGCTACTACACATTTTACAGTATTGACCATTTGCAACTATGTCAATCATTCAAGATGCTATGATGGATGTCGGAAGTGAGCGACTGGAGTATTGAACAAACCAACTGAAACTGTTTTCCCAACTTGTTTTTGCCAATTTATTAATGGCTTCAACTTGTCTGGGTCAAGCTTCTTTAAAGTTGTACAATAAAATGACAAAATTGGTTTACAACCTTGTCTATTTGTGCAGTCAACAGTACAGCACCCTATGACAATTTTTAAAGTGAAATCAATTAAGTCAAAGCAAGCTGCTACTACATGTCCATTTCTTGACAGATTTAAAGGAGCGCATTGGTTGTTTGGATGTCCGTTATGGTGGAGTGGTCACCAGATAAGCAAGCCTACCACAAGGTTTGAATACAAGTCAAATGCTGCAACTTGCGTACACAACGTAAACTGCACCATTGCTACAGTACATAATTCACACTACACTATGAAGTCTGTAATAGTATACGTCCTCTCACTCCAGGATGCCAAATGCTTGAAATTGAAAGTGAAACTGACAGCTTGTTCTACTTTGTAGCATAACATTGAATTTCACATTATTACACCAAAAATAAATGCTCTATTGAAAAGGGGAGTGAAATCGACACTCACTTCAAAGACAGGATAGGACTTCATGTATCACAAAATCTAGTTCATTTTCTCACACCTGTGCCAAAATCACAAGTATTTGTTAATATGACAGCAGCAGATTTATTTAAAACCAATGTTTTGGGTTAGCTAATCTTCATTAATCAACTCATCTGCATTGGGACTCTTGTCAGTTAATCCACCATCAAGGTTAGAGATACTATCACCTTCAACACAGATATGAATCGCAACGCTGTTTTGCTCTTGGGTACTAGCATGTAAATATAACAAATTTTCAATATTAAACCATTACTGATCTAATTACTAAATATGAAATTAGTTTTCATCAAATTGTTTAGTAACGAATCCAGAACTCACCTTATACTTCACCTCTTCGTCATTAGAAAATGTAAAACAGTGGCCAAAAATGAACAGCGCAGCTGTGGCCTACCTGGTATGTGGAAATGCCGGGGAGCAGCCACATATGTCGAAGTAGATGAGGGAGATTTGCCATCAGAGTAGGTGGATAAGCTGGGAGTACTCCGACCGCTTTCACTACCTCCAATGGATTATGGATGTTAGAGATAAAGGGAGAAGGGAAATGAGGTTACAAAGGTTGTGGAGGAGGGGAAACAAATATAGCTTTATGGAAAGCATATTTGCAAAAACCAAATGAGAAAGTCTGGCTACAAACACTTATACTAGTGATTTGATAACCCAACCTATTATGTACAGGAAAATGTCCCCCACCTAACTGCACCACCACCACCAGCCTGAACTGTTGATACAAGGCAGGATGGATCCATGCTTTCATGATGTTAACACCAAATTCTGACCCTATTATCTGAATGTTGCAGCAGAAATTGAGACTCATCAGACCAGGCAACGTTTTTCCAATCTTCTATTGTCCAGTTTTGGTGAGCCTGTACGAATTGTAGCCTCAGTATCCTGTTAGCTGATAGGAGTGGCCGGGTGTGGTCTTCTGCTGCTGTAGCCCATCCACCTCAAGGTTCAACGCACTGTGCGTTCACAGATGCTCTTCTGCATACTTCGGTTGTAACGAGTGGTTACTTGAGCTACTGTTGCCATTTTATCAGCTCAAGATCAGTCTGGCCATTCTCCTCTGACCTCTGGCATCAACAAGGCATTTGCGCCCACAGAACTGCAACTTACTGGATATTTTCTCTGTTTTGGACCATTCTCTGCAAACCCTAGAGATGGTTGTGCGTGAAAAGTCCAGTAGATCAGCAGTTTCTGAAACACTCAGACCAGCCTGTCTGGCACCAACAACCATGCCATGTTCAAAGTCACTTAAATCACCTTTCTTCTCCATTCTGATACTTGATTTCAACTGCAGCAGATTGTCTTGGCCATGTCTACTTGCCTAAATGCATTGAGTTGCTGTCATGTGATTGGCTGATTCAACATTTGCATTAATGAGCACTTGGACAGGTGTACCTAATAAAGTGGCCGGTAACTATGCTCTACATCCAGAGAAACACAGAGGAAGTTGGAGCATGTGACTGAGTATGAGAGAGTGTCAGCTGACTGTACACAGTCTCCTCCACATAGGGACCAACTCATTGGCAGTACTCTGGATGCAAGTAGATGAGATCACTAGCAGAGTGTCATGTGTAAGTGATCTGATTTACACCATTACACACGCTGAGAATTCCACACATGAAGTTCAGAAAGCTGCTAGTGTCAGCCTAAACGTGGAACAGATCCTCTACACAAAGAAAATACTTAGTGGTGAAGATATTTATCACCAAATGACCAGTGGGAACACATAGGCACTGTGTTACATCTCCTACTGAAGAATGAAGAAGGAATTGGGTTAGCATTAAAAAGCATAGTTCAGTAATCCTACAAGTGTTACATGACCCTACAGCCAGCAATATAGATATCAAATTACATCACAGTCCACCCTGTATATCTGCACTTTTTATTTTATCTTCTGAACTATCATAGGGAATACCACATGGCTCAAATTTGAAACTCTTCACTTTCTACTATACCTGCTGCCACTAGGCACCATTTTCTACATTTTGCTGACAGTTACACATGTAGATTCTACAATCTTATCAGAAAAAGATCACAACAGAAGAAAAGGTATTTTTTGTCAGTTACTCAAGGGATTTTTCATACAGTCCAATGGACTCGATTCAAATGGGGAACAAAATTGCAAGACTGTAACATTTCATCTGGTACAGTTCACTTTCACACTGCACCTTGGGCGCCGCCAGGAGTCTACAAAAAAATTGCCCCCTCACCCCCGCTGTTACAATTTCTTGAGTCTATTTGACCAATAAAAGGCGTCAAATTTTAAAGGCTTGCAACTGCCTTGTTTTCTTTGGATACTAGCACAATATTTACTGCTGGTGAACTTTACATGCAACTAGGGTTGCCACCTTTCAGAAATCAAAATAAGGGACGCCCACTAATGTGCGTTGTCTTAGTCTCATGAGCAGGCAGGGTAGCGGAGGCTGGGGGGGGTGCTTCGACTAGGGTTTTTAAAAAAAAATTTAAAAATTAGATTTATCTTACTAAAATGTCTCTCCCCACGAGCAACAGTCATAGGCAACATGCAAAACATAAGTAAAGCAATTCAGACTTCTCAAAAAATGGTAGCTGCATTTCATTCAAGCTGCAGTATACAACTTTAACAAAAAATATGTTCTCTCTATATTTGTTAAAGCTGTCACCATGTCGTGACAGTTTGCTATGAGACAGATAATCTGTTAAAAAATCAACCTCCTACAAGTCCTCCCTGAACTACTATCGCTAGCTAAAGTAATGCAACGTTCCAGCCAAAAACAACCAATCAGAACTAGGAGGAGGGTCGTAGCGCTGTTAATCAACCTCACTCACTGCTGTGCTAATGGCAGAGAAACTACTTGTCCTTACAGGAAAACTGTTTATCTGCCCTCATTGGTAGCTATGCTAGCTAGACAGAGCATTCACAACAGGCTGTGCTAGCTGCAGCATAGCACACAGCAAGGGGGAGAAAGGATGAGCAGCTACATGAGATTGTGATTAACTGCACTAAAACCAGCCTCCTGCTTCTGATTGGTTGTTTCTAGATAGCACTGGGAGAAGGCAGAGGAAATAATTTTTTCACAGATTATCTCTTATGCCATACTTTCACAACATAATGACAGTTTTAACAAATATGTAAAAAATATATATTTTCATAAAAGTTACATAATGCAGCTTTAATTTCACTTGGGAGGCCCTGCCAGCATCCCTAGGTGGGCCCCATGTGGGGAAAGGGAGGGCAGACCATATGGGTCCCATATGGGTTTGTCCGCGGGTTCCTCGATGGCCCCACATGGGTTAGCCCATGTAGGGCCACAGCCCACATGGGCCCTACATGGGCCCTATATGGTGGTGGCCCACATGGGTTTGTCCATTTAGGGCCCATGTAGGGCCAATGTGGGCTGTGGCTGTAGTCTACAGCTAAGCTAACTGTGCTAAATGGTTGACAATCTTACAGTCTACTTGCGCCTCTGGAGAAAAACTGGGTTACAAATTGACACTCTTGTCTTTTTCTCTATATATATTTTTTGAAAACCTGTCTTTATAATTGTTCTTAGCAGCATAGTAAATGTCACAGTAGTTCTGGTCGTCTGCTCACTGCTGCTGAACACCGTCACTGTCAAGCGCACCAAGCAGGAACAAACCATTTCCTGCAGATACAGGGGGTGTTCAATGCGAATATGGATGTGTGCTTTCAGGTCTGGGAGGGGTAACATTTAATTTTTACTGCTAAAAACAATTTTTAATAAAAGAATATGATTAATTTTGTAATTGACAGGGCTCCATTTTTTTTATTTCTATGAACAGAAAAAAAAAAAAATATATTATATATTGCGGGGGATGTGGGTGCCTGTTGGTCAAGGGCTGTTGGAATTGTCCTAACTTTTCGCCTCTATGCAGTGCCCCTGCACTGCATTGTGTCAAACAAACCAAACCCTTTAAGCAACCTGTTACCCCCCTCACCTGTGGTGGCGCTGTACCAAGCATCAATGAAAGAAACTTCTTCATGAAATGTAAATGAAGTGGCATCAGATATTAGCATTTTTAGGATTTTTCTTTTGTCTCTGGTAGCGCTACGCATGCACTTTTACCTTGGCTGTAATTACCCTGAATGACCTGCTTTCTGCTTTTGGAGCAGTCTTCCATCTGCTTTTTAAAACATTTTTATTTCCTTTATTTAACCAGGCAAATCCTGTTGAGATTTAGATCTCATTTTCAAGAGGGATCTGGGTAGAAGTCTGCAATACACAACAACCTGGTTACACAAAAATAAAACTAATTAATACATATGCACAAGTATAAAACAATACAAAGCAATTTAAAAGCAATGACACTGGTTAATAGAATCATGTGGCATGTTTTTAAGAACCGCTTGGTGTTCACATATGAATTCGAACTGCACCAACCCAAACGAGACCTATGGACCAGAGTTCACTTTTTTGGTCTGCATCAGAGTTTGATTACACATTTATACCTCCACAAATGAACTGGACTTTCTAGGCAAATAAACTGGAATTTGATGAAAGCAGACTAAACAGGGCTGGTGTGAATGCACTCTTAAAGCAGCAGTATGTAACTTTTTCGAAACCATGGACTTGACCTGAAAATTTTAACAAGTTCATTATAACCCAATGGGTAAAAAACTAATCAGAAAATATTGAGTATAATAGATGTTTTGGTATTGAAACTGCTCATGTCTATTTTATAAGAGTTTGAAGATATTATATGAAATGTGCTAATTTTTATAATCAAAATCTGCTGTTTGATGCACTGGGTCGGAGGAGAGGTCAGGGGAGCCAGTTTGAGGCAGTTTGAAATGAGAAACACAGATAGCTGATAAACTTTGGTCCCACTTTCTTGAGTAAAATGTTTCCGTATAAAATGAACAAATCTATTGTTCGTATCCTGGGAAAGTGCACAGAGAGAATGGCTTAGACAGCGGATAGATTCATCCCTGACCTTGGTAACACCTGCATGGTGTCTGGTGTACAAACAGCACGTAATGACGTGGTGCTGTTTGTATGCAGGCAGAGGCCATCTCTAAAACAGTACGTTGAAACTTATCAGACTGTAAAGAAGTAACTGAGCTAAAACAGCCAGTCAGATCACTGGAGTGGAACTGTCTTTTTTCCTTCCACATGCGGTGGTCTCTTCATCTTCGTATTTTGCATTTTGCTTCCTTTGTGGCTTTGGTATCTGATGACCATGTTGAGCTGTTGGTGTGATTTTTAAGTATTTGATTGTTTGAATAAATTCTGGTTGATTGTGAAGTTGAACAGTGACTGTTGTCTTTGGGGTTTCACTTTTACACATGACATTAACGGACCTTGGAAGACAAGATAACAACAAGCAACAGGTAGAAAATTTCTCATTTCTCAACACAAGTCAGTGAATTAGCAGTTTACATTTTTTGCTTTACACTGTGTAACATTTCATCTGTATGTTTGGACATGGAATTTATGGCCTCCGATAAGGGATTTACACCAACAGCAACAGGCACGGAGAAAAGAAAGCCGTGGA